CACCCCTTGTATATTACGTCACAAAATCGACGACCTTCCCCCCACTTTACGTAGAGAACAATTTTATATTTATTTTTTGTAATGTCAAAAAAAAAATCACGTGAATAATCAGTTCTTTCTTCGATACTTTCTGAATATGTCAACTTATTATCACAGCATTCAAATAATAATTCCTGTTTGTGAATCGTTTAGATACTTGGGAGGAGAAAATTTTTTCAAATAATTAGTCTAATGGGCAAGTCAAACGAATTTTCATTAAAATGAGTGAAGGGTCAAAACCCCTGGTATGAACAGATGTTGTTGATCAATGAACGCTTCAACGCTCCATTCTGCATCTTCGTCATCTTCAATATTTTTCGCCACTAGGCCCGATAAACCGCAATTTCAACGTCGCTTCGCTCGGTTAAATCGCGGTTTTCGGGCCTAATGACAAAAAATATTGTTCGAAACACGGCCGTGGGAACTTTTCTACCTCATATGATTACAGAACTCGCCTTCGGCTCCTCCTGTAACCTCATATTCGCCAGAAAAGTTCCTCATGGCCTAGTGTCGAAATGTACTATTTTGTTACTCAGTCCGTGAAGCGTTGCCTCATGGACTAAATGACAAAATTAGTATAATTAGTTATGCTTACTGCAATCATATGAGCTAGAAAAGGTTTTTTGGGCCGTATGACGAACAGTATTTTTTGTCATTCCAGCCGTGAGGCAGCGCTTCACGGACACTCCGCTCCGCGTCCGTGAATCTTTGCCTACGGCCGTCATGACAAAAAATACTGTTCGTCATACGGCCAAAAAAAACTTTTCTAGCACATATGATTGCAGCCCTCGCCTTCGGCTCGGGCTGCAAACTCATATTCGCCAGAAAAGTTTTTTTCGGTCTGGTGACGAAATATATTATTTCGGAAGCGGAGCATCCGAAAACGCTGCCTTAACGGCCAGAATGACAAAAAATACGGTTCGATACACGGCCGTGAACAACTTTTCTGGCTGATATGATTACAGAACTCACCTTCGGCTCGTCCTGTAACGGCCTATAGTGTCGAAATGTACTATTTCGTCACCACGCCGTAAGAAACTTTTCTGGCGAATATGAGTTTACAACACGAATGGAAGGGGAGGACTGCAATCATATGAGCTAGAAAAGTTCTTTTCGTGTCACGGGACCTGAAATTGTATATTTCGGTACGAGTGCGGAAAAGAGTTTTTTGACATCACAATCTAAGAAACACCTCCTCCCCCCTCCGTCATGGTCGTCACGAAATGCAGACCCCACGACTAATCGCGTGATGGAATATTTGAACGCTCCCTTGAGTGAAGTCGAGGTTAACTCACGGGCGTAGATAGTTTAAATTTGAAATTGGCATGCATCAAAGTATGCGCAACCAACTTCCGATCATTTGATTTCACAAGAAAAATCATGAAATTGGGACTTTTTCAGGATTTTTTTCACTCATTTTGATTCAACCAAGTGGAACGAAATTGAATCCACTAAACAAGTCCCATTTTCATTAATTTATAGTTTTTTTCTGGGAAAAACTACGTCCAAAGTCATTTTTTTTACAAATTTTTCAAATTGTTCATTTTAGCCTTTTTGCAACATTTCAACATTTTTTTTTCTCAAAAACTAGACATGCTAGAAAGATTTCTAAAAAAAAATTTAAAATCAGTATTAAAATATCCATAAGATGCGGTTGGTTTCGTTTTCGAGGTCGAATACGCCCGAATTTTGTTGAACCGTGTTATCAGTAGAATAAAAAATAGAACCGTTTTCCACCCCGTAGGGAAGAAAACGTATATTTTAGGTCTTGCCGAGGCTTGACCCTTCGGAGATTACCTTACGTATCCTTCACATGTATGCGTGCCTAAAACCTACCATGAGAGTCATCTATGGGGGGAGAAGGGTACTTCGAACTGAGTTACAAGTGTCGGCTAGCGCGGATGACGCGTTTGGACGCGAAGAGTCCTCAGTACTTGCTCCGAATCATGAAGAATAGGAAAAGCCATTCTTCATGCTCCTGGTGACGGCAAGCCCTCACTTGGGTCAAGCCTCGGCAAGACCTAAAATATACGTTTTCTTCCCTACGGGGTGGAAAACGGTTCTATTTTATGTCTGTGCCTTCGGCTTGACCCTTCGGAGAGATGTTTGTATTCTGCCGGCACTTGAAAGTGTACTGTGACTCCAGAAAGTGGATGAGAGAAGAAACTCTCATCTCAGACATGAATATTCTAAATGGAATATAAACTACGAATACTGTTGCAGTAGCGAATACTGTTTCGGGCTGGTAGACCAACGCTCTAGGAGAGAACTTCTAAATTTCAAACATTTATGGGTTCCGACTACCTACTTGCAGTGATACCCAAAGAGGTATGCCTTCTCCGAATTTCGAAAATACACATCTTGTTCAGGAACTAACTAGTCATTATAGTACAATCTTATGTCAAAGTTCATCTGATTGAAGCTTGACTAGGCTGAATGACATCAATAAATGATTGGACAGTCGACCTGTCCTGACTTCAAGTCCCGGATCTGGTATTGGAAGGTTTCAATTTTTTTCTGTACCCCAACGCAATCAGCAGAGGTCATGTTTGCCGATCAGAACTTGACCTTCTTCAGATCCTGAAATACTTGACGAGCTGAAAATCCACTCATGGGTTAGACCCAAACTGAAGGCTGCAATCCAATTAACAAATGAGAGGCTTGGATATTCGATCAAGTACTGAGCGTTGAGCTCATTTATCATGCTAAACAGTAGCACTAAACCAAAGAACTAGAAGTTGATGACGAGAAGCCAGACTTCTGTTCTACAAGCTCTCTCGTCCAGAGGATGACACCCAACTCGGCGCGACTACTAGAGATATTTTCGACATTGAGTTCGTTGACGATGAACCTTTGGAATCAACTGAGTTGGTAAGAAAGCTTGGAACCAAACTCACTTTTCTTTTCCTGCTGGACGAATCTATGAATGATTGGTTATTTGCCTGCAACCATCGTCCTGAGCCGTTTTTTGATGGACGTAATACCGAAAAATTGAATGCGGAGATATCCACTTTACGATGACTTTTATGCAGGATCTTGGTGCTCCACAATGAATTGGGCAAGCGAAATCCATGGGGAGTTGCTCTGTCAGAACGTTGCAAGCCCTCAGGCAAAAGTAGACAACTGGATGCTGTTATAGTAGTTAAGAAAGCGTCCGAATCTTATAAAAGTATGAGAAGGCGTTCTGCATTTCTGACACATGCCCCAGTCGTACTGATAACTGCTTATAACGAACTAGACTTGTGCCAAAATTCCTCTCCAAGCATCTGCATTACTAATGACCCTGAGTTCAGCTTCTTTATAAAAATGTGGAACACTTCACAATTTCGCTTCTTTATAAAAATGTGGAACGCTTCACAATTTCGCGTGTCATTCTTGCGTAGGGGCCATATTAATCTACTCTGAATCGTTCCAATTCTAGAGTATGTACTGCCGAAGCAAGTACCAGTCATTAATATGACACTTTTCTCTAGACAAGACCGCAGTAGACATCATGTAACCAGAAAACACATGTCTGTGTGAGATATCTTTTGTCAAGAAGAAGCCTAGGACCGACAGGAAGTCAGACTTAATCGATGGTGAAGGGTTCACACAATACACATCCACGAGGACTCCTTTCCAGTAGGAAAGATTTTTCCTTTGGAGTTTCCTTCTACAATCGGTGATTCCACCATTTGGTTGTCGTGAGCACAGCAGTTCCAGAGAAGTAACGAAGGTGGCTAGATGCAACATCCCCCCAGATAGATACACACAGAAGTGTCTCTGATAAGTCTGGAATGAAAATTGCATCCCAGAGAATAAAAATAGAAAAATTTTCCTTGAGGAAGATTCAAGATTTTCCAGTTTCAGAACCTTAACAATCCTTTTGCAAGGTTTGAGGATAAGACCTTTTGATGGTTGTGAAGGTTACTTCTTGGAACTGAGATCTCCAAATGATGCCAACATTATTGACTCTGAGATTAAACAGGAAATTGAAATTCCTGAGGACCGAAAAGATCAAACCCCCGGGTGAGTCTGATGATATTTTCTCAAGAATATCAGTGCAATTGTGAGCCAACAGAGGATGAGAGATATGCAATAGACCTCGTGTTCTGCCAAGATTAATTCGCTGTCCCAGTGCGTGTCCTGAGGAAGCGCAGTGATCAGGCTGGCAGGCTAAGTAGGGGCTAGGCGATGTTGAAAATCGCATGATGGACAAAGGTATCTGCGACCCCTGTTAGAGGATCCTGCCTTTAGAGGAAAGGCGCGCCGGGGCTTCCTATCGCTCCCTTAAATAAATCTTCGGATAATTCCATTGGCCTGAAGCCTGTCCTCCATTCCGCTTACCTCATTACATCATTTGTTGGACCCAGATTTATGGTAACCATCGAACATGTATTCGAAAGGGCGTGCGAATTGAGCCCTCAATTCTCGATATAATTAGGTAAAGGGAGCTTGCCAAAAACACTTGTGGTCTTTCGGACTCCACAATGTTGGTTCCAGAAATTCAAGAGCAATTGCCCGTCCATTAGAACCCGTGTCTCCATTTATTTTCGCCGGTTTCCCGGGGTGTTCACCACATGAATTCGACTAAGAACCGAAGAACTAAAGCGACTCTTTCCGCCGATGATAGTAAATCCGTCGATAATTTGAAATATCTGACAAAATCTCCAAAAATGTGGCCAGATGATCAGAAACTG